ATGTTATTTTTCACATTAATTGTACATGGGTTTTTTTTTTTACTTGCTTGAATCTTTTGGATAGCACACAACTTCCTGTTTTGAAAAACCCAACATCCGGCAATATCATACGCATATACTTGGGGGAACGTTTTCAAGTGTTCTCAATTTCTCGCTGTGACTTGTTTTCTCGAAAGGCCATTAGTCTAGTTCTTCTTCTATTGTCCTGTCTTTATAGTTCAAGTCTCCACATACCTTGTTCCCATTATTTCCATTGTCGGAATAAACAGCTTTCTTAAGTTGCGTGAATTGAATTTTATTTTTCTCTACAATAACTTTGTGATTTGTTTTTAAAAATTACTTAAAAAATGTATTGTTTTACAAAATTACAATAAAAAAAAGTTACAGTACCAATGTCAATGTGTCTCTGTGTGTTTATTTAAAGATCTACAATTTTAAAGCAGATCACTGTTTATATCAGCAGTTAAAAAAAAATCTTAGGGGTTTTCACCCATTATAACGTTGTTTAAAATTTACACTGACCTCCCTTAATAGTATACATTTTAAAGCACCCAGTCCCCTTCTTAGATTATAAAGCAAAAGAGCCACATATTTTCTTTTGAATGTAATTATTTTTTTTTTAAAATCTAAAAAAATATTTGTTTTTATAAACGAATTTAAAATAATTGTTATTTAACATTGCTTTCTACCAACCCCGCCCCATATAACACAATATTTTATTAAAAATATACACTTCCTCCTACCCCCTTGGTGTAATACAATATGTGCCTGATCCCTTAGCATGCTACAAAGTCTTTGTGGTATTTGATATAATTATATTGTTTTATAAAAAATAAAGACGACGAGTAGAAAATGTTTATTTTTAAATACAGGAGCTAGATATTTAAAAAAATAAAATAATGGGGCTGTGTAACACAAAGAAAATAGAAGCTATTATTTTATACGTAAATACATAACACAACACTAAATTAAATCAAGTTTAAATTTTCAATCTTTTATATTAATTTCGCTCTTTTTAATGTGTTTAGGGTTTGCAAAAATCTTCGGGCGATTACTTGACCCACTTGCCGTCAACTTATCAATCAGAAACCCCCTCCCCCAACCACCCCCCCCCCTTTCTCCCCAATATAATTTTTTTTCAAGTGGAAGTTCAATGGTAATAGGATGCCACTGATATCACGAAATAAAATTGCCGAAACCTGCACTACACATTTTGTTTTTTAATATCGCAAGTGCATTTGGTGACTAATATTTTCTTTTGTTTTTCTGAAATAGTTGGGAAGTAAATCTGCGGGTGTAAAAGTGGGTGGTTCATCACAATATTAATGTTTTTCAGGGGCGTAAAAATAATATACGTTTGTGAGCCTCAAAGAAAAAAAAAAGGGGGACGGGGGGAGGTGTCACTACTTAAACTTTGAATGAAGTACGTTAATTGAATGCATGTTTTGTCAAATTTTCAGCCCCCCCCCCCTTTTGCTCGATATTACATTTTATAAGGGATTTATACGCAAAACTCTGTCTTTAGGAGTTGTTTATTGCAAATTAATCCCCAAAGGAGAAATACAAGAAATATGCATGTCCTTTTAAGAGAGCAGCGTTCACAACCCTTTCGATGCGTTTGTATCAGATCAGGGGCTTTAACTGCTATCATCTTGGTAAACTCATGTATTACTCCGATTGTTTCCCTTTATATTTTCATGTAATGTAGCTCATTTCAAACTATCCAGGGATGGCCAGACCTGTAGTAACTGAGAGCCATTTCTAAAATAAAACAAAAATTGTTGAGAGCTGCATTGAAGCACTATGGGTCACGACGCCACTCGCAATGAAAAATTCCTTTTGTGATTTATTTATAAAAATTACTTTTTATTCGAATTTAATGATTTAAACATTTCAATTGTTTTAACCCTAACCGCATGTTGAAGAAATATGTGCGTTACAGTTACAAAATTAAAGAAATAAATGCGTTACAGTTACACAATTAACAAATATTAAAATATGTAAAATTTATGAATAGAAATAAATTGTTTGCGAGCCGCAATGTGAACACAGAAGAGCCGCATGCGGCTCGCGAGCCGTGGTTTGGCCACCCAATATATATTTTTTATCTTTTTAATTCTTTTCTTTTTTTTTTTTAAGAGGACAGAGAAACCATAATTGTTCAATATGGTTCATGTTGATGGTGCTTCAAAATCAAATTTTTGGTTGCATTGTCCAATAATGTAGAAATTAGTCGGTTAACCACTTTATTGTTTTTACTTTTTAGTTTTAAGCCCAATCAGATATACATTAGGCTGATACTATAGTAATAAACTAGACTGAATTTTTTTTTAAAATTTTAATCAGCGCCGCTTTGTGGGATGTGAAACCCCTTTGGACTTTGAGGTACGCACTGTGTTGGGGGTGAATTGAGCTACAGATTTAGGAGAGTTTCTTAAGCTCTGTTGCCCTCTTTTCTTGGCTCCAAGTTCGTTTATGTTGAAAGTCATGTTCTGGGTCATTGAGATTCTCATGATGGACTGCAAGTATTCATCAGTAAGACGACTCACTGTGTGATGTTTTGTTAATCTTCATCACAGACAACAGCTCACACAGATATCTGTTACCCAACATGCTCAATGTTCGAGCCGCATGTAGACGAAGCTTGGGCTTCTCTTTAGGAATGAAATGAGCGAACTGTGCAGGCACAACGGTGTCATACTTTGCCTTTAGTATGCAGGTTTATTAGCTCCATCTGCAAATTTTACATCTGCAGTTTCCACTTCTATGACATTTGTGTTACAAAACAGCTCGAAGTCACTGTTCCTTGCTTCAAAGTCACTAAAGCGCCGTGCGAAGTAAGCTCAGCTTCTCAGCAAAGTGTGCACTGGGAAACACCATAGCGTCGACTTGGTTCAACATGGCTTGGCAACAATAAAAGTGAGACAAGTTGCATTGGTGCACCTGTGTCTCCCATAAGCGCATAACAAAATGCCTTCACTGCATATCAAGCTCAAGATCAGATCAGGAGGTCCCGTCCCTGGATGCTGCATGTCAAAGTCGTTGAGATAAGTGGTTATGTCAGACAGAAACCCCAACTCACGTGTCCCCTTTTATCCAGAAAAAAACTGTGTCGTCTTTTCCTTTGTTGTCCATGAATTGACAGATTTCCTCGATCAGCTGGAGAAAATCTACTTAGAACTTTTCCCCGACTTAACCGCCGCACCGCTGTATGATAAGACATTTCGCCGAACTGTAAAAAAACAACTGAAATTGGCTGTGATTTCAACCTTGGGCTCTTATAAAGTTGACGGTTTGTGTGACAGTGCTCATTACACCTTGCATGGTGAGGACTTTACCACACAGGGATCATTGGTGTATGATGCAGTGATATGCTATCATTGCAACAGTACAGTTCTCCTGCATCTTTAACCGCATCCTTCCAACTAATCCACATTTTTCCGCCGCACTTCGCCAGTGCTCCATCTGTTGTACGTCCAACAAGTTTGCCCCAAGGCAGGTTCATGTTGGTTAAAGTTTGACATACGTTATCAAAAACGTCTATTCCTGTCGTTGTCACCTGCATGGATTTCATGTCCAATATCTCCTCTGTAACATCCAAACTGGAGTCCACTCCACTGCTGAAGACGGCGAGCTGTGCAGTGTCAGGTCATGTCATTACTTTCATGGACACCATGGGAGAATGCAACAAAGTCTTTGAATTTTTCAATCAGCTGTGTTTTCACATCAGTGGCCAATCTCACAAACCCGATCAGCAACCGTATTTCTGCTACGGCTTAGGTTTGCAAACATCTGCTTTTTGTCTGAACACAAGACGTCACAATCTTTCATCCTGCAGCGCTTCAGTAACTCATCCATCTGTACATGGTTGGCCTGATTTTGCGATCTTCTCCCTCCGCCACAATAAAACTTGCTTCAGTTTGTGATTTTGCTTTGGTGAAAAAAACGTCTGCTCTGATGTTAGATTCCTCTTCAGTTCTTCTACTTCGTGCAGCTGCTGCTCGGCATTCAGGCTTCTTAACTTGTCTCGATGTTAAGCCTCGTAGTGCCGTCTCAGATTATATTCTTTAATCACAGCCACAATAGCTCCTCAAATTAGACAAACAGGTCTAGCGCCAAAATCAGTAAACATATGTTCAACGTCCAGGCAGTTTTGAAAGGCTATGTTTTCAGAATCAATTTTTCTCTTGGCCATTTTAAGGCTAGCTCTGATTTAAATTTCAAAAAGATTGTGCATCTACTGAGAGACGCTTGATTGATATCACGGCATCCGTAGCGGGGAAAACGTGATGTCATATCCGGGCACTAAACGACTTTCGTTTCCTATGCGCCAATCAAAAAACGAGCAACAGATCGTTGCTAGGTTACAGTAACGACCAACATCCACCCACTGCACAACTTTTAGTTTCGCTTATTCTGATGCACCCGAGAACGCTCTCAGGTAGCCAGCCTATCGTTTGGCAAGGCCCGAGAACGCTCTCAGGTAGCCAGCCTATCGTTTGGCAAGGCCCGAGAACGCTCTCAGGTAGCCAGCCTATCGTTTGGCAAGGCTGCTATTTAGGGAATTTAATATTCACTTTATATCGCAGGGTCATTACAAAATTTTTTTGCCTAAAATTCTGTTTGGGATCAGATATAATTGTATGCCGGTCAAGACCTCTCGGGCCTGATGTTGCCAGCGGGCCTTAAGCTAGACGCATGTGATTTTAGAAAACAGTGAGTAATGAGGTGTTTACTAATATTTCAACGGTTGCTGTGTGTCACGGCAGCCAGTCACACACACTCACTACACACACATACGTACTCGAACGCGCCAATCATCAGATACACACCACACACACACGCGCACACCTATAGACATACAAAGACAAACGCCTTGACAGAAAACATCCTGTACACTGGGACACGTCAATAATCACGCAGGAGACCGCCCCCCCTCTCTCTCTCTCTCTCTCTGATCCATGCGCGGCTGCTAGCTTGTGGTGCACGTAACGTTGTCATGAAAGTAGCGGGTGTTGTCCTGACTTCCCAAACGTAACACATATTAGTTGTGTGCGTATACGATCAACACTGTGCGTGTTGCTGTAATACTCGTGTCTTTTGTTCAAGAGCTCGTGATTACACCTGTATCCATAACTTTTAATTGATTACATAGATTAAAATTACAACGTTGTTTTAGTGTGTTGACTTAAAAGATCTGAGATGGCCTCGGCACATGATACTCCAACATTAGGTAAGTAAGCTTAGGTTCACTTCAATGATAACCTGACGATTGTCAGTAGTTCCAAGTGTAAGCCTTGGTTCTCTTGAATGATAATCCGACGATTGTCAGTAGTTCCAACTGTAAGCTTAGGTTCTCCTCAATGATAGCCCGACGATTGTCAGTAGTTCCAAGTGTAAGCTTAGGTTCTCCTCAATAATAACCTGACGATTGTCAGTAGTTCCAAGTGTAAGCTTAGGTTCTTCTCAATGATATCCTGACGATTGTCAGTAGTTCCAACTGTAAGCCTTGGTTCACTTGAATGATAACATGACGATTGTCAGTAGTTCCAAGTGTAAGGCTTGGTTCTCTTCAATGATAACCTGACGATTGTCAGTAGTTCCAAGTGTAAGGCTTGGTTCTCTTCAATGATAACCTGACGATTGTCAGTAGTTCTAAGTGTAAGGCTTGGTTCTCTTCAATGATAACCTGACGATTGTCAGTAGTTCCAAGTGTAAGCCTTGGTTCTCTTCAATGATAACCTGACGATTGTCAGTAGTTCCAAGTGTAAGGCTTGGTTCTCTTCAATGATAACCTGACGATTGTCAGTAGTTCCAAGTGTAAGGCTTGGTTCTCTTCAATGATAACCTTACGATTGTCAGTAGTTCCAACTGTAAGCCTTGGTTCTCTTGAATGATAACCTTACGATTGTCAGTAGTTCCAACTGTAAGCCTTGGTTCTCTTGAATGATAACCTTACGATTGTCAGTAGTTCCAACTGTAAGCCTTGGTTCTCTTGAATGATAATCCGACGATTGTCAGTAGTTCCAAGTGTAAGCTTAGGTTCTCCTCAATGATAACCTGACGATTGTCAGTAGTTCCAAGTGTAAGCTTAGGTTCTCCTTAATGATAACCTGACGATTGTCAGTAGTTCCAAGTGTAAGCTTAGGTTCTCCTCAATGATAACCTGACGATTGTCAGTAGTTCCAAGTGTAAGCTTAGGTTCTTCTCAATGATATCCTGACGATTGTCAGTAGTTCCAAGTGTAAGCCTGTGTTCACTTGAATGATAAAATGACGATTGTCAGTAGTTCCAAGTGTAAGCCTTGGTTCTCTTCAATGATAACCTGACGATTGTCAGTAGTTCCAAGTGTAAGCCTTGGTTCTCTTCAATGATAACCTGACGATTGTCAGTAGTTCCAACTGTAAGCCTTGGTTCTCTTCAATGATAACCTTACGATTGTCAGTAGTTCCAACTGTAAGCCTTGGTTCTCTTCAATGATAACCTTACGATTGTCAGTAGTTCCAAGTGTAAGTGAATTAAAGAAAAAAAAAACGCCTTTAAGGGACCATGTTTTTACTCAGGATGGAGGAGGATGGTTCCAACTCAGCAAAACATTTCATTCTCATCTTGCTTATACTTTATAACTCATATTTTATATAGGTGAAACTGAAGAGGAGGTGCTTGGAGTCGCGGCAGTCTTGGAAGATGGCCGGAGTAGAGGTTCCAATCAACAAAACCACGTCCTTAGTTTCAAGATTACTAAAAATGGTGAGTTTGAGGGGCTGCCAGATCCGCTCAACACACCAGATATGTCTTCTCTGATCAGACACATGTCTCGTCTTACCGGCAAAATCAAAGTCGGGACGGTGCACTGTACGGGATTTGTACAAGCCGTGCGGCAGGGAATTTTCCCGAAATGCCCTGGCAGGATGTGTCCGGAAAACCACCAAAATGGCGGTAGAGGTTACATACTGACCGTGACGACGGCACTTCACGTCGTGGAGAAAGCTACTGACCAGTGTCCTGCAAAGGTGAAACTATCTTGGCATCAAGACGGCCGTCCTCACCAACTGACCGCCCACCTGTGCAGCGTTGTCGACACGGACAAAGATTGCAGCGAGAAAGATTGGTGTGCGGTGGAATTCATCACCCACAACACTGAAACAGTGGCGAAACTGAAAGAAAATTTGGAAGAGTTCCAAGAATCACAAGGTAACCTCTACAGAGAATACAAGAGAAATAAAGGTGACCAGCTGGTCATCATTGTGTCGTATCCAAACGGGGGCGCTAAACAGTTGAGTTACTGCCCGAAGTTCTACAAGAGGGAGCACGTAAAATACGTCAGGGAAGATCAGGAGTCGTGCCGTTACTCGTATGGCGCCCCGACGTCTGAGGAAAGCCGCGGCGCCCCGGTCTTTATACTCGGGCAGCCCTTGTGCGGGTACGGCTACTGGCTGGGACACCCACACATCCACAGCCGCTCAACTGGAGCCATCGGTCACAGTTCGCTGGGGAACGATCACGTAGACAGAGAATAGGTCGTAAGAACACTTTTCTGTCTAGTTCCCGTCAAAATCTCAATGAGATTTTTGTTTCCCGGAACTCATTTCAGCTGCGTGATGTATCATGGAAATATTTGGCTGATTAACTCATGTATCTAATAGTATATCATTAGACAGTTAGAATAGTGCAGCTGTGTAAAACATAATCACGTGACTGATCTGTGCCAAAATGTGACCAAAATATGTTTGGGATCAGTTTTCATAACGATCTTAAGTGCAACCTGCGGCTTATGATAAGCACAGGTCCTAAAAAGATTGACTCGTATTATTTATCAGGCAGGCCATCAGTATAATTGAATTCTTCAACATTTTCCTCTATTGGATGAAGATGTAGTATTATTATCAAACTGTGAAGTGAAAAAAAACGAAGTCCTCCACAAACCGAATGTGAATAGGCCACAACAGTTTTTGTGTTAATTTACGATATGTGCAGAAGGTGTGAGTGACTGAGTTTCATGGTCGAAATACCTAAGGCATTTCGACCTCAAATTAATGTTTTGAAAATTAATTGAACATAGATTTTTTAACTGAGACAATTTTAGAATAAAACAATAATATTAAACAAATCGTGACGTCACAATGACACCCACACAACACACC